AGGAAAGTTTCAAGTGGGATTTGCAATCACTAAATGCAGAAAGTGCCTGCAGGTTTTTTCTGTATCTCAGCTTTTGTTCTTAACTTACATGTGTGTCAAGCCAGTGTAATGAAAATCATAGATTGTTTGCCCTAAATGCCCATATGGTCTTGGAGGAACATGTGAATTCATGGAGAGGGTTGTGGAGGGAGTGATGGTGAATTTGACTACTGTGCAGGAAGAGAGAGAAAGGAAAGGACTGAAATCAAATGCAGATCAGGAAAATCAGATTACCATGACAAATACAAATGAGCTCTGAAAGACTTTCTGAGTAGTGTCTTTAAGAACTGTAACAAAGTTTAATATGTTTTAGGAACAGGATAATGAGACAAGGGAATCAGTGCTAGCCTGGTCCCTACAGAGGATGGCATGTTTCTGATATGCATACAGAGTCCTTTCTCACAGTAAAGCAGCTCAAACCCTTGTCCCTTTGAATCTCCTAACCTAATCCATGTTATCCTGGGAACAGCTGGGTAGGAAAACCCCACTGCTTTCTGAGGCATTACCTGTGATTCAGCAAGTGGGTCAGTACTAAACTGATAATATGGCATTCATTTTTGTGTGAGTCCTTCACTGAGCCTTTTCTGGCTGAGTGGTGATGGGCTGAATGTGGTGACTCCCTGCTCAGCTCCATGGTGGGAATCTGTACTTGAACTGAAAGTTAAAAGCAATCAGTGTGATGATAATAAGCATGACAGCACTGAAGCAAGATGCCACAGACAGTTTTTCCATGGCTCAGAGAATATCTGAGATGTAAACCATCTGCATATGTAGAGATACTCTGTACTCTGAGGCTGTTTTCACTGAAAGGCCATCTAAAAGAGATAAAAATGAATCGTCATCATTATGGACTGGAATTCTGCCAGCTGTTTAGTAATTAGAGTTTTAATTGCCCTGTAATAAAAGTTTTAATTACTCAGCAATTAGTGCTTGAAGTTTCAAGTGCTTCACATGCACTCAATTGCATTCTTGAATTGCCAAGAGCAAAAGATGGAAGAGCTCCAGTGTCTCTCAGCGAAGCTCTGAGCAAGAGAAATAAACATCAGTGATAAGGCAGCAGCTGAAAATGGGCATAGCCCCAGTTGCCAGTGGCCAGCCAGGCAAACACTCTCACAGAGCAGAGCCTGCAGGCAGCTCATGACCTTTCCCAAACTCAACACCTCCTTGGCTGGGCCAGACAAGATACTAATGTGGTAAAGGTATCATGCTGGCTGGGGAAAGGCTACTGCAGCAACCAAGTCATTCACAACATCTCTGCTCCTTCACTCAGTGCATTCATTCCTTCAGGCTTTTAGCCGCATACCCTGCAAGTATTATTTGGTTATTTTAAACAAGGTTTAATTTAAGCTCACATGGATCCAACAGGAAGCAGCTGCCTCTGTAGGTGTCTTACCAAAATGCTTGAAACTCATCCCTTCAGGATGAACTTACAGTTAGTAATATCCACCTGCAGTATTTACTGCAATTCAACAAAATATTTAAACTATGCTATATTCCCTTGCTAATTCAAGGCCAAAATACTTTTTGCTGTGTCAAGCATGAATTGCTTCATACCTACCATTATCCCAACTAATTTTCCTTATGCTACATAGCAAAGGTCCTGAGGGTCTGGTTTCTTTCTTCCTGAATTACTAGAAGTTAAATAACATTAGCAAGTCAAACTTTAACAAAGTCAACAGTCGGCAACGGCACAGGAAAGAAGAAGCATTTAGACTACAGACCCTAGAAGGAGCTACATATTTGTGATCTGCTTAAGGCAAGTTGTCTGAGGAAACATGTAGTCAGGGAGCAGGAGCAAATTTTCTATAAAATAATTACAATTGCTCCAGCCCTTTTTTTTTTCATGCTCAGTAGGGAGAGTTTTAAATGATGCTCAGGTTTCCTACAGGCAGCATCCAAAATCCATTACAAGAACTTTGGCAAAACAAGACAAAATTGATCTAGTAAAAATATTTCATGGAAAAAAATGTGGTAGTGAAAGGGTAGGATTAAAATTTTCAGAAATTCAAAGTAAGCTGCAAGTTCTATTTGAAGTTACTCATAATTGTATAAATCTAATTTTTGAGAGGGTTATCATAATGCCTTTCAAAAGGTGGGATTTTTGTTTCCTTTTTATCTATTACTGAACTAGAGTTAAAGCTGAGAACTGAGCATTATGAAGAAATGTACCAATAGTCACATAAGCACAGCTTTAAAAAACACCTTTCCTGTTCCTGAGAATTAGGAAAAAACCCAACAAATCCAAATTGTGATTGCCTAACCATCAACATTAGATAATATACACAAAACATTAAACAAAACAAAGTTTTTCCTCTCTGCTCTGAAAGGAGCTTAGACCTTTTAATAGTCCCTAGCTACAAGGATAGTAACCTAGTCAGTAAATCAAAGCATTTATGTTGTCTCTAATGTAGCATCAGATGTTTCCTATACTTGGGACTGCACAGGTCATTGATTACACAAATGCTCTACTTCACTAGGGTGCTGAGTTCAGGGGCAGTACGTATGTTTTCTGTCTCATTTCCCTAAGCAAATATCTGTAGTACTCTTCACAGTGGTGAAAAAATACCTGATCATGGCAGACTGCTCTTCCTAGCTATAACACTGTGAAGTATTAAAATCATAATAAGATGGGATTCACCTCATTGAATGTAAGTGTCTTGTCTAGGCTGGTAACAGGCTCAGTGAATATACCCAGGCATCTCAAAAGGGTGAGTCACTCCTTCCAGATATATATGCCCAGGACAAATGAGGTGGTTACTCTCTGGTGGAGCTGTCTCTGTTAAATAAGGAGAGACAAACTTTTAGACAACTGAAACCAGGTGAAATGTAGAGTTGCAGAAACATGACAGTAGGAGAACAGACTGAAGAATGCAGGCTTTCTTGAGTGTCAGTATTGATTTCCCCTTGCAGAGCCAGGAGAAGGACATATATTTCAAAGTTGATGTTGCAGTTAGCATTATTCCTTTCACCTCTGAGGCTGCACCTCAGAGTCCCAGGCTTGGATAATAAACTGCCCTGTGTTGGACACCATATAGTTACAGGGCTAACAGCTAACATCCATCTCTAGTAGATTAAAGCAGTCCATGCCACCCATTTTATTTATGCTGAGAACTCGTACAGTACAGTACGTCTTTGCAACAGGCAGTTCTTTGGTTGACTCTACTATTGAAAAGTGCTTCCTCTTTTCAGTGTTTGCCACCCTACGGATCCTCTCTTTTCCCATTATTATTTTACAGCTATGCTTTTCCCAGCTGCTCAGCGATTCAAGAGGTCCTCAGCTGCCTTCCTTAACCCAGTGCTACAAAACTCGCTGGAAGATGTGGTCCTGCTTTACGAGGTTCAGTATCTGGGAGCTGTTGATACTTTAAGCCTTAACCAAGACTGAGGTTACTGTCCATCCTGGGGTTATCCATCATCTGTCTTCATGTCACTTTTACTTATCCTAGCAGTAAATCCATTGCTGACTGTAATAGCTCACCAGAAGGAAGGGGACTGACGTGTATATATATATATGACAAACTCAGTTCTTTGAGCACTTAAGCAGGCAGTAGTTGCTTGCTACACCTCAAATGTGGATTCTAGCTCACTGACAGGCAATGTGAGCAACAGAGCAAAAGGCTTTCCACTGAAAGCAACTTTCTTCCAGAACAGTTGTTTATTAACAACACATTCTGTTTAAATTCTTTTGTCTAAGTCTCAGTCCCAAATTATTAAAGCCACAAGTATCAGTCATTGCAAAGTAATCTCGAGGGCATGACTGTTTCACTTCCAAATAATTCAGGTCCTCTCTTTCACAGCAGTGGAGACTGCAGTCTGTAAATCACAGTCTGGTCATATGGTTAGCTAAGGGACAGTAGCCCACCCAAAGGAGGTGCTTGGGTCAAATCTACCTATCTTTAAGAAACTGGGATTGGATGTCCAAACAGGGGGGATGGGCTGGGAAGCCACTACTGTGCTCCCACACAGAATGCAGCTATCCGTGGCAGAATAAACAGCCTTTCCCAGCCGTGCTGCTGTCTCCACCTCTCTAATCCCCATGTGGCACCAGCAGCAACCCATGCCTGTTTTGGACAACAGAAGACTACCTGCTTTTTTCTTTGCCTCTTTCCTTTCCCCATAGCCTGTCTCTAATTTTCATGGGTAGGTAACACAGGAGTCCAATGTTCACGTAGAAACTTTCTGGCCTGCCCCACTTCCAGACACTGCAGTTGCCTCTGTTTGACGTAAATTAAAGACTTAAGGACGTTGTTAAGTCACATTTACTCTTCCTAGAGTCTTTTTGAGAAATAAATAGCTTTCTGTGTTCTGATTTTGTACCAGTTTCTTTTAGCTGAGCTTGACATTGACAAAAGTCTTAAGATTTCCATCAAAGACGAGGAACTCGCTTCACTGAGGAAGGCTGCTGAGTTTGACACCATCTGCAACGAGATTATCCCCAAGAGCATCACCGAGATCCGCAGGCTGAGTAGTGTGCTGTCTTCCTACCCAAGGGTCCTCAAGAAAGAAGACTTTGAAAGGACAGTGCTGACCATGGTCTACACAGCCTATAGAGCTGCTCAGTCCCAGGGACACCAGAGAGACGCTTGGGCTGAATCCTTTGTCAGTCTTTACAAAGCCCTGAAGCATGACTTGATGTTCCCATACAACAAACAGCCATCATAGCTGGAAACTAGATGCAATGGCAACTCAGATGCCTCTTCTTGTTGGTCATGGACACATGTAGCACGTCCACCACTTTATTCTGTAAAGTGTTTAATAGCCTTCTTCATGAAAGATTATTTGTTTTTTAGCTCCCTCTTGTGGAATCCACTTTATAGTTCCATGTTAAATGGTGAAAAATGTCTTCAGTCCTGATGATTCAATTTTTGTGCTGGCTTGGAGATGTATTCTGTGGCACGCAGAGAAGGGAGTCTGGTGTACAGCACAGCCACCCCTTTGTTTCAGAAAAACCCTTGTTTTATCCTGTGGGTTTCCTATAAGCAATACATAAGTATACTATGCTTCAGCTCATATACCTATGTGTAAGTGCTGCAAAGTGCTGCTTTCCTAGCTGGGGAAACAAGTTCATGGCTGGCCAGGAAAAAAATATTATAAAGAGATGCAAAGGCCCTCTGTAAGAGGAAGAGATTTCATAACTGTCAGCCTTCAGAAATTATGCCAGATTATTCATTCCAAATGTTCTTGTAAATAAGCACTCTCTGATTCATTTCATTTGGCTGAGCCAGTTTCTAATTCCAATAATATCCACAGAAGACAAAGGGCATTGTAAACACCAGCAGCAAACAGTGCCTGTGAACGTATTCCCTGCTTCCTAGAGCTGCCCTCCCAAACCCTCTGCAATGATTCTTTCATTATTTGCACATGACTTTGCTTCTGCTGCTTGTTTTTTTGAAAGGAACATGTATTTGTCCTCAGTGGAATCAAAGGCAAGACAAAGGCCCAGTTTAATTTAATGACACATTTTTCCTGATCTATCACTTGAACGTGAGTCATCTAAACCCATGCTTCAGAATCCCCCTGAGGCAAGGGAGTAAGGTGCATTAAAACACACCTGGTGCCGAATTGAGCGCTGTGGCTCATTTTATTTAACAGCAAATTGTGTATTCACTAGAGTATATATGTGTGTGTGTATGTCTGCATATGTTCATGCATGTGTGTGCACATTAGTGCTGAGTACATAGAAGAATCTTGAATCGTTTAGTCAGGGAACAATTGCATCTGACCACTTAGCAGAAAAGGCCATTTAGCAATTCAGTGGTGCGAATTATGAACTTGGGAGCAGCAAAAGCAAAAATAGTAGAAATAGTGCAGCTGATTATAACAAATCTGAATTATAAAATAGATTTTAAAAAAATCATGAACAGAGAATGGACAGAAAATGGAGATAGATTTGTCAGACAGATGACTAGCTACAAAAAATCCAAACTCTTCTAAAGCAAATCCCCTAATTTTTGTGCACAAGTGATACAAACTCTGATATTAGAGGTGCTTCTACTTCCAGAACATGGGAAACCAGCTGAACATTTATTTCATTCTTGCATACCATCATCCCCTGTATCTCTATTGGCATAATATCTTAGGGATACAGGCCCAAATCACAAATCCCTGAGCCTGTAATAGAGAACTGAAGATTCCAGCCCCCATTCTGAATCATGTTTAACTGCTTTTACATCACTTGAGCAAAAGGAATGAACTCTTCTATGTTCCTTAACAAGGATACTCCAAGGATTTGTGCTGAAAAATCCACGCAGCACCACCTTGTTGGAGCAAGGAGTGCAGTCAGAGCACACTGGGTCTGGCAATCACCCGTGGGAATGTGGAAGCACAGCAGCTTTAGGGGCAGTCTGGCCATGGTGTTAGCAGCTGCACAAAGGGCTTATACAACAGAGCCAGTCTTGTTTCTCCCAGCAGTTCCTCTGTGTGCATGTATGAGTGTGCACATTTGTATTTAGATGCATATATATGTAGGTGTATTTTTATACCTGAAGAATTTTGTTGGCTGTCTTCAAACCCTGTCTGGCATATGGCAAAGGAAACAGAAATCCTCAGCCACAAAGTTATGGGCCACAAGTAACTCCATCTCATCTACTTGCACACATGCTCAGCACCCACAAAGCAGCCTTGCAGTACAGTCCACATGCCCTTTAAGCCCTCAGCTTTAACACTGATGGTCTGTTTGTGTTTTCTTCCCCCATCATGCTTTAGAAACACACGGAGGGGAAATGCCACAGAGTAAACTGCTGCCTTTCTAGCTCTGCTTCTTGGCTCCCTGAAGGACCACTTGCTGGAAGAGCCTGGAACCAGGGCAATTCACAAATCCCTGACAGCCAGTGACTCCAAGTCGGCAAAAATAACAACAAAGAGAACTACAGCAACTATTAATTGCTAGCAGCCACCATCCAGATAAACACCTCCCAGCCATGCTCCTCACCCCACACAGGACTGTCCAGCAGTCAGAGTTTACTCTTCAGGAAGTATACATAGAAAAGAATGACAAATAATTTCTAATATCTTATAAATCCCTTTGGCATACATACCTTACTCTACCTTACAAATTGGTAACTGAAACCTTTATCTCCTCAACAGAAAATAAAGAGGGTTTGAGTTTGTTTCCCTCCTCTCATTACATGTGTAAGGCAGGAAAAAGATTTATTCCTTGGGAATGTACTTGGACTGCCCAGGTTAATTTAAAAGAGTCTCTCAATGTAATAATAAAAACATTCTGCATAAAAGCACTTGGTTTTGCATTGTATTGATTTCAGCAGAAGACTTACTATTTAGTAACTTCAGCTTGAGTAATTGGTTATCTCAGACTGTGAAACTCTCCATGGGAGCTACAGTACAGGAGAGAAGAGAGAAGGTGCAGCTGTAGGTTGCCTGTTCCCTGTCTCAGTTTACATCCTATCACTTTGGACTGTCTTCTTTATAGGCAGTTCTTCTCTCACAGGTCAGAAAACCATTGCCCCTAAATGGCACATTTTATCCACCCTTTGACCTTGTAGATCATAAAAATATGAAATAAAGATTAGATATTTTCATTTAAAACAAAGCAATTTTGAATTTTTGGAGTATTTTAGGTTTTTTCATTTTTTAGACTGCATGAAACAACTTTCAAAACAGATGGAAATTCCCTGGCTGTATTGGCCAACCCAAAATCTCCACATTAACTATAGTTTTGCTTCCAGAACTCGTGCCAAATTTGCCTGAAGGGTTTCAAGGTTGTTACCTGATGGGGGTTTCGAGGTGTAGAAGCATTACACAGTACGAGATACAGTTACTAGTTTCAGAAAGAATTAACTGCACATCAAATTGCTCTGCAGGTCTGTATTTGCTGGTTCTCCAGGACTCAGAGTCACAGAGGCATCACAGTGATGGGGAGCTCAGTTTGGAACTGACTAGCAGAGGGTGGGGAGGGGATAGTCAGGCAGGTCTTGGGGACATGGAAAATCCTAGATGTGTGGCTTTCTAAGAGATGCAAGGCAAATGGATGTTCACAGATCATGCATGCAACCAGCCAGTCCTAAATCTACAGTACTTTCTGCCCCACAAAAGGCATAAATAACAGAAGAGTTGAAGTCAGGCTTCTTCACTTGAAGGCTAGAGTAGAAAGTCTAAAAATTCTCAATTTGATTTTGAATCCTATGGTGATTTAGGGCACATGAATCAGTACAGAGATCAGCCCATGCCTTATGAATTAGTGATGTTCAAAGATGGGATGGAAGAAACAGGAAGACAAAAGATACTGTTTAGAAAACAATTATTATTTATTTATCATTAGTACTGGGACCTTGAAACAATAACAAACTGTTCAGCAAGTTGAAAAAAAGGTCTTTTTGTACATTTGTGTGGCTGTCAGAAAGAGGAGGCTGTTAATTTTCTCAAATGTTCTGACTGGGTTTTGGGCAATGGGTGGAGCAACTTCTGCCTTCTGCAGTCCTCATTGGTGGATTAGAGTTGCATGAAGCTTTTTAGCAAATTTTTGTCTTGAGACCAAGTATAATCTGTGTTGGAATTGCTGCCCCGTGAATTCCCAGCTCAGGGCAAAAGTAGGGTAAAGGTAGATAAAAATAGAAGAAATGAAATCTGAAGGAGCTGCAGATTTACTTTTTATTTAATTATTCCTTTTTTTAAAGAAGGAGTACCTGAAAACTGACTTCTATGCACTGAAAAATAAATTGTTGGTTTTGATAATTTTCCAGCAGAAAAGAAACTGTATTTCAGACATTCTGACTATCAACCAGAAGGAAAAGCCTCAGCTCAAAACATATCTTGCCTGATTTCTGAAAACAGGAATCATACCACTAGATGATGGAAGAAAAAACTTTATAAAACATGGAAATAAGGATACAACACAGCCGGATCTGTGAGTCTGAATTAAAAAGAAAAGTCAAAAGATCACTATGGTCCAACTTGCAAATTTCTTCATGTTATGGTGTGATAATAATTTGGATATGCTAGTGAGCCCTACATAAACTTGAACGTCTTTTTAATTGAAAAATCTTTTCAAAACAACAGATTGAAGAACAATTAAATTAAGAAAGATATTTTAGGTGACTGTGTGGGGATAGGAAATGAGGTGGTGAGAGACCTTTTGGAGAAATCCAGGCACAGGTGGAGGAAAACGTGGTGTAGAAGAATCTGAAGGAGAAGAAAGGCAACACAAAGTGAAAGAGTATGGCAATGATAAAGGAGATTCTCCGATCCAGGAACCTCTTGCTCGTTGTTCTCATTCCACTTCTGCTGCTTCCTCTGCCACTCACATACCCCAGCAGCGTAAGTACATTTTCATTTTCTTTTGAACAGTCTCTGAGTTCAGTAGGTAGTCCTGCTGGATTAATTTGCAGTGTGCAAAAAGGAAAGGCAAAGACATAAAGAAACACAGATCCTAGAAAATTCAAAGCCTTAAATTTGAAGGACTGTGAGGGTCACTGAGATGTCATCACAGTAAGAATGAGAGCTACCTTGAGTCATGTCACAAGCAGAGCTGAAGAGCCTGGTGAAGCTAATAAAGCACTGCTTTAAAGCAGAAATATTTTACCTCTTTAAAAGGAATACTTAGAGTGTCTTTAGTTTTTTTACTAATATGTATGCATGGAGGGGCTTTCAATTTAATGTGGGTTTGTAGGATAGTGATTCAAGTGAGGCAGGAGCTAGGACTTGGTGACACACATGTAAGACCATACATGGCATTGAGTACTCCAGAGCAGGTGTAGGTACTTCTGCTGAAACACTGCAGC